GCCGTACACATTAATCAGTGTTCTCTCTCTCTCTTTGTGTGTGTGTGTGTGTGTGTGTGTGTGTGTGTCTGTCTGTCTGTCTGTCTGTCTCTCTCTCTCTCTGTGTCTCTCTCTCTCTCTCTCTCTCTCTCTCTCTCTCTGTATCTCTCTCTCGCCATCTCCCCTTCATCCCCCTCCCTCCTTTTATCCCCTGTCTTCCCTTCCCAGTGCGACTTCCTTCCTTTCACTCATTACGTACGCTTGCAAACTCCCTGTAACTTTTCGGTACAGTTGAGTAGCTCCAGATACGCAACTCAGAAGTCTCTTACTTATTTACTTGGTTAGAGAATAGACATCATTGCAGGCGACACACTGCCATAGCTGCTTCCCCCCGCCCCCCTCTCCGGGATCCATGGAAGGGTCTGCCTGCTGATCGTGCCAGTTAACAGCTGGTTGGATATTCTTCTGGCTTTTCCACGCAGGTTGCTGTCTCTCCCCGACCCTCTAGAGACACCAGCTTCCCTTAGTCTATCCATTGTGTTCAGAAGTCTCACAAATCATGTGTTCTGTTCAGGCCTCTTTTTACTTACATAGAAACTTGATGTAACTTTTCGGTACAGTAGCTCCAGACAAGCAACTCGGTAACCCCACAAATCATGTGTTCTGTTCTCACCTCTTTTTACTTTCACTTACATGACATGCAAACTCACTGTAACTTTTCGGTACAGTAGCTCCAGACACGCAACTCAGTAAGTCCTGCAAGTCATGTGTTCTCCTCTCACAGTTAGTTCCGCAAGTCTTGTGTTCTCTTCTCACCTCTTTTTTAGTGACATAGTAACTTGTTGTAACTTTTCGGTACAGTAGCTCCAGACATACAAGTCCGGCAAGTCTTGTGTTCTGTTCTCACAACTCTTTTAAAGACTAACACATGCAAACTTGAAGTGTGGGGTCTTCCATAGCCTTGTCCTTAATGGATATGGCCGCAAGGCCGCGGAGGTTTTAAATCAGGGTTTTCCTTCCCCTAGACGAACTGCCATCCCAGGCTGTCTACCTCCGGCTACCCGAAGCAGCTGGTTTTGAGGCGCCAGCGACTCGCCTTTGCCCTCCTGTCAGTGGTAACGATTCCGCCGCGAGAAGGCCAGTAGTCTAGTAATTCGGGTTAAAGCTCTCAATGCATCCGTATACTGAGCGACGATGTGGGGACCTAGATCTATAAGCCATTTCCATTTAGCCGATTCTTTGTGTGTTAGGTTGATAAGGCCACCTTGTGTTTTTCCAGCTCGCATAAGACGTTGTTCAATTGTCATGTCTGTCCACGTTCCATAACCAATAGATCTAGAAATCTAAGGCTAGATCTAGATCTAGAATTTAGATCTTGATCTAGATCTAGACAGATTGGATCTAAGTAA